CAAACTTTTTGCTCACATAAAGTACATGATCTGTATATAACAAATTTTTAAGTACATGCACATATTCAATTTTCCAAAATCCATAAATGTAAAACATTAACAATTTCATTCACATCTTTCTCTTCCCTTTACCTTCTACATGTACTCGACCTGTAATGCACATTTTTGAAAATAAAACGAGGGTTAGGGCATAAAGTTTAGTGATTAATCTTCTTGATTGCAGTTACAGAGTGAAAATCACCAAAACACTTTTGGAATACCAGTATTTACAGAGATAATATGTAAATATCATATATTTTAACAAACTTTCATATGCCGCATCTTATAGATGAGACAAACCCCACTTCATCACTTCAAACACATGATACATCAAGTTTGTCGTATCTAACATATAATACACCAACTTGTCGCATCTCATTACATATGATAAAATGTTTCCTCGCATCACTAGGATGCGATAAATTCACTCCTCGCATCATAAGGATGCAATAACCACCATTCCTCACACCTCACTGGTGCGATCCCTTTTTGTCGCATCTCAAGGGTGCGATAACTTCAATTTGTCGCGTCATACAGATGCGATAACACAGACTCTTCGCATCATATAGATGCGATAACAGTGGTTCATATGAACAAAATCCCATTTTTATCAAACACTTGATTATGCCACTCTTATCCCAATATACGTCTTTCTAGGTTATGTCACCCTTATTTCAAAACATACATCTCTCTTGGTTATACCACCCTTATCCCAATATACACTTCTCCTGATTATGTTATCCTTATCCCAATATACATCTCTCCTGCTTATGCCACCCTTATCCCAATATACACTTCTACTGATTATTCCACCCTTATTCCAGTTAGTTGGTAATAACCTAACGAAACTCAAATTTATGCTAATACACAAAACATAACAGTTTCGAAAACCACCCTTTTATTAAACCATACAGTTCCCATCAAAAGCAAATAAAATGATACTTTTAATTTAAAAAAAAACTCACCTTGTAACACAAATAGATGAACGCTTTAAACAACAACAAATAATCAGTTAAAATCACGTAACCAGTTCTTCTCTTCTTCTTCTGTTTCGTTAAAACCAAAGTCCAAAAATACTTCACCAACTTTTCTTTCTCTTTTATCTCTTTTTAAAAAGTAAGAGAAATAAGAGAAAAATAAACATATATACTTTTTAGAATGAGGCGGTGCATGTCTATAATATTTATATCAAATTTTTCGAAACACCCCCTCAACTTTTCACCATATTACAAAATCCACCCAAACTTTCCAATTCATAACCCAGTTATCACATAATAGGTTTAAGTTCCATACTTATCTCTTAGTTATTTTAGTTTATAGATAGGTTTTATTGTTTTCACTGATATTCAACTTATTACTGATCAATAAACTGATCTTAAGATTTTCAAATCTGGTTTTATCAGAGTTTTCTCTTATTTTCAGATTGATAAACTTGTAGGCTTGTTATCCTTTAGGGTTTAAACGTTTGTCGATCATTCCACAACTTCCTGCTACGTCATTACAGCTATATAAAATACGAAAACGTAACTTTCAACTAATTTACTTAAAATAATTAACATATACACAAAAATAATTACTGTTAAATAATATAATTTAATATCTTTTTTTTTCTTCAACAGATTCTTTAAAATTGAGAAAACTGAAATTTTGAAGATTTTAAACATCTTTTTTACTCCAACAGATTCTTGAAAACTTTTTCTAAATTTAGGAAACTCTTCAAAAATATTACAATAAGAAACACACACAGATATATATATATATATATATATATATATATATACACACTAGAAGGGTACCAACGCAATGCAGCGAGATACATCTTGATTTTAATATTTTATTTTATTCTTTATCTCAGTCGATGTTATAGTATGGTCTTATGCAATTTTTAAAAAAACAATGATGTTTTTATTTTTGAATAAAATATAAATTTGAAGATATCATAAATTTTTTAATAAGAATATATCGATATTAGTATCAAATTAACAATTTAAAATTCCTATTTTTTGTATAATTTTTAGTTTAATTTTTTTATTATAATTTAATTTAGGTTCAATAATAAAGTAATTTATATTTGGTTTAATAATATAATTTCTCCTAAAAATAATAATTAATTATTTGTAGAACTCGATAATTATTCTAACTATATTTTAAAACGAGATATTTATTTTTTATTTGATTATATTTATCCGCAGTTAGTTACACGAATTTAAATATAGAGTTTTAATAAGTCGTACTTATGCATAATTTACTTGTAATATTGAATTTTAAGTAATATGCATCAATATTTCATGCATAAAAAATGGTTTTTAAGAGTTTTTGTCAAATGTTTTATAGTATAGTATAGATATATATGTATATGTATTATATTTTTTCACCAATAAGAAACTTTAAAATTAAATATTTAAATAGAGAAATAATATTTTATCAGATAAATTCAATATTTTAAAAATATAATCGATGTTGTAATTTTTAAAATTAAATGTATTTTTATATTAAAGATTTTATATTTATTTTAAAAAAATAAAAAATCTGTTTTTTATAATTTTCTTATATAAATTACTTTTGTCATAAATACCAAAGGAATATTCTAAAAAGAAGTTCCTAAAATAAATAAAAAACAAAAAAATTATTCAAATATAAAATAAATAAACAAAACCTTTACTCTTATAAGACAAAATTCAGGTCAAAGGCAGATTTGAACCCACTGGCCCCCTACATTTCTTTTTCAGATTATTTTTTTATTAATAAAATCAAATATTCGTAATTATTTTAATTGGTTAATTGTTAATAAATTGTCGGTAATTTTATACATTTTTAAAAAAATATTATATTATTTACAAAAATTATTATATAGATTTAATCTTTTAAAAACTTTATATATTGTGATAATTATAAAAATAATTTATTTTAAGATCTTATTTTACGTAATTTTTTTATCCAATGTTATAATTTATTATATTAATTAACATATATTTGTTTCATAATATCTTTGTTTCATATGTATTCAATTCATAATGTGAAACTTTTTTTGTTGTATTATGTTGGGCAAATTATATGAAAAAGAAACATATTTTAACTTGATTCTTATTTTAAGTAACGTATTTTCAAAACTTCTATTTTGGTACCTTAGATGTAAAGTTTTAAATATTTAAGTACCTGTGTAACTAGTTGAAACATTAATTGATTATCATGCTGATGTGATATCCAACTTAGTATTATTTGCTGACGTAATTAGTACCATGAATTTTTTTAATTCTTAAATTAGTCTTTTTTTAATCTAAAATTAGTCTTTAACTGGTTATCCGGGTACTTAACTGTTTAAAACTTTAAATCTTAGGTACCAAAATAGAAGTTCCGAAAGTACGTTACTCAAAATAGGAATCAAATTAAAGTACGTTACATTTTTCATGCAATTTGCATATTCTTTTGTTTCACAAATACATAAAAGATATTTACATTATGATATATATATATATATATATATATATATATATATATACTAGTTGAAATATATATATATATATATATATATATATTATGATTATAGATGAAAAAATCATGCGAAATAACATATGATGCACTGTGGACGTTCGACTTTTTTACCTTCACAACATTTTGTTGTGAAGTTTTAAATGTAAGAAAACGGTCTCATAAAAACAGATTGATCTTACGTGAACTCAACCCTCTCTTTCTGTCTATATATATATATATACTAGTTGTGTACCCGCGCAATGCGGCGGGAGCCATGAATTTTAACGATTTTGAAGTTTCACTGATTTTATAAGATACGATTTAACGATGATATATGTTACACTTGATCTTTACATATTAATACAATTTGAATAAATAAGAGTTATGGTTCCAATTACAGACTATCGATGAAAAAAATTGTATGACAGTTTAAAATCCAATATATTTAAAATCCAACATATTTAAACGACTCCACAACTGTGTTCGATTTACACCAAGAGCAAAGAACCAATAAACTTGAGTTTTAAGATAAACACTCAAAACCAATAAAGAAAACTACAAATTTGACTGATCATAAGCCATGAAAAGACCAAAAAATATGGGTTTTAGAATAAATTTCAACTGTTTACCCTCTTTTTTGTCCAATAACTTAAATTAAGGTTGAATTAGTACATATATATATATATATATATATATATATATTTCAAAAAAACCCAAGAACATATTAATTCAGAACATATTATACAGTGCAATTTGGACAGCCTAACCCCAAAATATATAATATATATATATATATATATAAATAAATAAATATAAAAGTATAAATCGTAAATATTAAAAATATTTTTTCACAATATATATAATATATAATAAAGTAAAAAACTATTCAATATTGTACTCATTTCGAAGGTATTAACGAGACGATTATAATAGTGTAACTTGTTAAAATAAAAATATATTTTTTAAACATGTTTTAATTAATATACGATTATGTACGTTAATTTGATAAAGATTTAAAATGAAACATTTAAAAGTAAATGACGTAAAGTAAATTAATTAATTAATTATGGGGTATAAAATGTAAATTTAAAATTATAATTTTAAAAAAAATCTGTTGTGAGAGGGTAAGTGTATGTGAGGGGGTGAAAAAGTGACCTAAGGGTAGTATAAAGAGTACTTTGGTTCTTTAGTATTTTAAGATTTTAAGACTTTTGTCAAATTTGTTTAATAAGATGATATAGATATAGATATATATTAATTTGTGTTGCATACGACTAATAATTTAATAATTTTTAATATATATTTTGATGGATTAATTAAACCACGGACTTGAAATTTTCAGTTAATCGAAATTTACTTTATTGGGTTTTGTAATCAACTCCTCATTTATGAGTTTTTTTAATTATTACCTTTTTTATTGTTAATAATTTATTAAATTATTTATTATTGATTTTATTACAGACAAAGAGAAAAAAGATGCATGTCTCTGAAGATTTCACACACACTTGCGTAATTTCATTGTGTGTTTTGCTCTAAGAACATCAATTTGCTCCTCAAATTCCATTTTTTTTTGCATCGGAAGGAGGTACTAATCTCGGAAACCTACGTCTGTTCTTTGTTTTGATCGAGTGTAAGATTTTAATTTTTAGGGTTTTGATTGTTTTTTGTTGTAGTGTTCATGTTTTTATGCGATTCTGCTTGATAATGTGAAGAGGTTTTGGCGAAAATTAGACTGTTAGGTGTTTTGTTTTGTGATTTTCGGTTTTTCAGTAGGATTTAGTTCGGTTTGCATGTTTATTACGTTGAATATTTGAAGGTAATGTGGTGTGATTTTTCAGTAATTTTTGTTAAATTTCAATTTCTATGTGTTCTTATGATAAATTGGGAATTAGCACTTTATCAGGTTTTGATCTCGTAAAATACGAGACATTATCAAGGGGAAAGGTGATTCTGCTCAGCGACAGAAATTGATTGGATTTTTTTTTCTCACTTTCCTCTTGGATTGCTTTCGGATTAGTGTAATTTTAAGCTCGTTTTTGTGTTATATGAAATGATCAATTCGTCATATTCTTCGATTTTTGCTGAGTTTTTGACATTTTTCATGGTTTTAATTTCCTGTTGACCATAATGTGTTGGTTTGATCGAGTCGTGATTATTTGATTTTTTTGACCTAGTTGGAGAATTTGCTAGTCATCATGGAGTCAAGGGAAAATATGACGCCAGCAGTAGAAACAATAGCTCCTGAGGCTCCATCAAGCTATCAATTGGCTCAGAGGACTGATAGCCCCACGGCCCAGATTGGAAACCCTAGCCAGACCATGGGACCATTGGGTTTTTCGCCAGTGGCTGGTGGAATGCCGTCTTCTTTGGCAAAGAAGAAGAGGGGTAGGCCAAGGAAGTATGGCCCAGATGGGGTGGGTGCCAGTGGAGGTGCAAGTGGTCGGACATTGTCACCAATGCCGCTCTCTGCCGCCTCTTCGCCGCCCACCTCTGGTGGCTATTCTGATATAAAGTTTGGTGAACCAACAGGAAGTGGTGGTGAGTTTCAGGTTGAGAAGAAGAAGAAACGGAAAATTAATTCCTTAGAGGCAAAATCAAACATGAGTCCAGGTAAATGACCAAATGGGGTCGCATCATTTCCTTGGTATATCTATTTTTGGTTTTAATGTTTTCTTAATTCAATTTAATTTGCATTATATTTAGTCTATGTTGCATGGGCAGGTTCGAGAACTGTGAGAACCATAAATATTTCGTGATGAATATCATGAATAATGAAAATGGATGATATTTATGATGAATAATGTTCATGAAAATTTAAATAATATTCATCATGAATAATTTATGAATAGTTGGTTTCACGATCATATTTACAGTTCCTAAACGAACTTTCCCCCTATGTTGCATTATATTTTTTGTTTGATTTCTAGTAGTAAATCATTTCTTCTGACCGAGGGAAAGTCTTGTACACAACCTTTCTCCTGCATTCTGCCAAGAGTTTGTTTATGTGACCAAACCCATGACCTTCAATCACAAAGAAGTGACCTTACAGATAGTTGAACTATATTCTTAAGCAGGCTGAAATACCTTTCTTCCATCCCATGAAAATTGCAAAATATTCCATTGTGAGATTTCCCATATAGGTTTCTTTTGGTCCAAATTACCTGTTACCTGTGTTATCAAAGTATTTGTGATATTTATATTCGGCTAAAAGATTTACTTGGCACTTATTTATTCATGATGATAGAGCAATTTGGACATTTGACGAATAGTCAAACATGCCAAGGTTCGAATGAGAACCATATATTTTGAGAACTCTGGAAAGTACTATTTCATGTATTATTCACGATTAATAATCACGAACATTATTCATCACGAATATCATGCATTTTCGTATTTCATGAATATCATGTATTTTCATTATGAATTATTTTCGTCGTGAATAACTCTCACGACATTCATCATGAATAAAACATGAATAGTTGGTTCCCAAGTTCTCATTTGAACATTCCCCTAGTAAAACATTTTTATCAGTATGCATGTAGTCAATTGCATGCATTCAATACATTGTACATCCCTTTCCGTGATCTATAATTTCATACTCTTTTTCCATAGTTGGTTCAGGTCTTCAATTAAAGATCCATAAAAAAAATAAGCAGTTCCCATTATCCAATATTCCCATGAAACTTGTAAAACATTTGGCTCAACATTTATGTTTGACTATTAGTCAAGTGTCCAAATAAATAGGTGGATTTTGTGGACCAAAACTTAAAACGTCATGGTCAAATAACTAATTTGAGATTGACATTTTCTAAAAATGAAAACATTGCAATTTTCATAGGATACCCTTAATAAAAAATTTCAACTTCACAAGACAGAGTGAACACATAGAAGATTTGAAAGTTGACCTCACTGTAGTTGAGGGGAGTCCCATGAACTTAAACTACGTTCTAAACAAAAATTAAATTGGGTTGTTGGGGGGGGGGGTTTAAGTGAGGAATGAAGCAACTTATTTGATATGCTCAGGATGGAGTATTTTAAATTTCATGGCCATGCTTTTATGTAATGAAGAAATCTCAAGGATCTGTGATTAAGTTTCTGTTTTATCCTATAAACCCAGGAAATGTTCATATATGTTCTGTTTTTTTCATGGCAGATGATCGGATTACTTCTGGTGGAAGTTTTACCCCTCACATGGTAACTGTTAATCCAGGCGAGGTATGTTTTAAGTAGAAGAGCTGACACAACATTGTAAGGGAAATTGACAGATTTAACCAATGAGCAAATGGGGTTTCACTTTTGAGCCAATCCTTACGGAGAAAGCTTACGCATATGCGTGAGGATTGGTTTTCGGAAAAAAAAATCCTTGCGCATAGAAAATGGTTAAAAAGTGAAACCACCTATCAACTTTGGCTATGTTTTGTAAATTCCCCCATTGAAGCCATTGATGTACTTGCTAGTCTTCACTTCCTAAATTTCTAAGTGTAGGTGTGTTCCATTTTTCCTTCTATGTAAACAATCTTATGTTTTGTTTTACTTCCAATTAATTACTACCTTCATCTCAAAATAAATGTCCACAATAAAAAAACGCAGTTTAAGAAACGTGTGATCATTACACTTCATTAAATGAATGATAATTTTACCCTTAATGATAGAGCCAGCCTTCTATCTCATCTCATCAACTCTTAAATATTCGGGTTTCATAATTAAGGGTAGAGTTGGTAATTTAGTAAATTATAGCTACCTTTATGAAAGTGGACATATTTTGGAACAAACTTAAATAGAAACGTGGACATTTATTTTAGGTCGGAGGGAGTAATAATCAATTTGAATATACTAACATGGACATACACATGATATGACCATTTACTTTGCTTTTCGACCTTAAAACATGTAAAGAGTATAAATTTGCAAATATTGAAGCACAACTTGCCAGAAGGACAGAACTAATTTTATGCACTCCCTCCATCCCATGAAAACTGCAACATATTCCATTTTAGATTGTCCCATGAAGCTTGCAATCATTTCCTAGTTTGGAAACTTATAAACTAAAAATTTCTTATTTATCCATCATTGCAAAAAAATGTTAACGTTGATTTGGGTCTCCAAGACTTTCCTACTTTGTCATTTTTAAAAAGTATGCAAGACATTCGACAATATAGTCAAACACTTGAAAATAAGGCTATGTAACCTCCTCCAGTTGTTTACCATGAGTAAAATGCAAAGTTAATACATCCTCGGCCCCAAAATAAATGGCCACAATGAAAAAGGCACACCGTATTAGAAATGTGTAATTATTACAATTTTTTAATTATTACATGACAATTTTACCCTTAATATTAGAGGGAGTAATGAATTTCTCCGTCTCATAATTAAGGGTAGAATTGAAAAGTATGCACTTACTTTTGAAAGTGGACACAAATTTTGGGACAAGATAAAATAGAAACATGGACACTTATTTTTGGGACGAAGGGAGTACCATATGCAATTAGCGATACTTAATTTCTTGTGTCAGTTTGTTCAACACTTTCGATTTCAATCTTGAACCAAAACCAATTGGCAATGAGTGAAGTAACCCTTGAATTCTATATATTCAAGACTTGTTTACTTCATTCAGTTCGTCCGTCTCCTTTCACTTCCATTTTCTGGGCTCCATCTTCATTTATCCCCGGCATCAATGAAATGGGACCCATAAAATGAAACTTTGAAAAGCAGTGGCTTCTTTAAATTGAATGCACATATATGATTGCATAAATACACCATCTTTTCGATTTTCAGGATGTTACATCCAAAATCATCTCATTTTCCAAATACGGGCCCCGGGCAGTATGCGTCCTATCTGCACTTGGCATTATTTCACATGTGACTTTGCGCCAGGCCAGCTCATCTGGTGGCACGGTAACATATGAGGTAAGAAACTTTGTCGATAAATTAATCCAGAACAAACAAACGCAGCATATCCTACTCGCAGGTCTGGGAGGGGTGGGATGTACGCAGACCTTACCTCTAGCCCGAAGGGTAGAGTGGCTGTTTCTGTGAAGACGCCCGGTTATGGAAAAAGTGTCAATAAGTTAACGTCGGGCCTTTTTTCTTACAACTCTTTATCTTATAGGGAAGATTTGAAATTCTTTCATTATCTGGATCTTTCACACCTGGGGAGGTTGGAGGACTATCATCGAGAGAAGGCGGCATGAGCATCGCTTTATCTAGCCCTGATGGCCGTGTAGTTGGCGGTCTTCTTGGAGGACTTCTCACTGCAGCTGGTCCTGTTCAGGTACCCTTCTTTTGGGCCATTTGACTTTTTAAGGTCAAACACGGAGATTTTAAATTGAAATGTAGTCGGGGAGTCTTTTGGGAAAATAACTGATGATCACATCGAACTTTGTATGACTACTAGAGATTAAAAACCGATGCTTCTAAATGTTATAACAAATTCCATACCATTTTTGTGTTCTGAAATGGGAGAATTTGACTTTCGAGGTCAAACAAGAGGACTTTTAAACTTGAAACTGCTACAAGTTTTTTTTTTTTTTTTTGAGTAGAAGATGCTCACGTCAGTTATAACTCCTAAAGATTAGGAATTATTGGTATCGGATTTGCAAAAGAGTTCCATACGATCTTCGTATTATGAAAAATCATAGCTTTAACCTTGAGTTTTGCTTTTCTCACTACTTCTCGTATGTTTTTCAGGTTGTTGTGGCCAGTTTTCTACCCGAGATAGGAACTCCTGCTGGACCAAAACCGAAAAAAAAGAAAGACGCCATTAAACTCTTGACACCCGTAGCAGACCCTACTACTGTACCTCGAACTACAAACACAGACCATCAAAACTTCAACGACAAAAGCCAAGAAAGTCCCGCAAAAGGTAATACCAATTCTACCCCTGCCTCTAACTTCCAGCATGAGAACCGCAGCACAGGGCCGAACGTGCACGACTGGAGACGAGCAGCCACGGACATGAACGTGTCCTTGAGGGAAGATTAAACCCACGTTTCGTTTTTCAGTTGTGGGTTTGTGTCAACTTTGTTTGTTTAATAACTTGATAGACGGATTTTAGTTGTAGAGTCCTTGATGAATTGTCCTCGCGGTAGGAGGTGGGAATCCATAAGTGAGGTCTCGGATTCGAATCCTAACACTATCCACCTGCAATTTTCCTCCCCGATGATGGTTGTGGGACCAGTATGGTAGGGACGGGTGGTGTATACCCGTTTATTTTCAAGATTTTAGTTGTAGGGTGTATGGTGGAAATTGTTAGGGTGGTTTAAGGTCTCACAAGAAGGTGGTTCCTTTTTGGGTTAGAAAATGTTGTTATTTAAGGTTGCTTTAGGCTTTTAGGATGATGTAAAATACTCGAGGTTAAAAAGGGTCAACTTAGGTAGCTTACTCTCTCTCTCCTTTTCAAAGTTACAACAATCTTTATTTTGTTTTGGAATGTTATTGGAAAATTGTAGTGGTTATTTTGACTTTGACTTTGACTTTGACCCGAGCCTAATTGGTTGTTTACTACTACCTACTTACCGACAAGAGGCGCTCACCCTCTTATCTATTTGAGATGCTGATCTGGTAAGTTCAGGGAGGGACTGTTAGGGACCGCTTACTAAACACTTACTGGGTAAGAGATTACTAATATCACTTATCTTACTGATTGAACATGGAAAGGATTGAGAGTCTCACTTGGTAGAGGCGTAACAAGGACCGAGTCTTATCTAGTAAGCGAGGGAAACCCGAGCTTAGTAAATCTCGAGGTTGTGGCAAGCTTCTTGACGAGATGCTTAATCTTGAGTCTTCTTTTTGAAGTATATAAATATAAATGTACGATAAATGAATGCATGCATCTTCTTATCTTTGGTGAGATTTGAACCCTTGACCTTCTGAAAAGTTGAGCTTTACAGGTAACTTAAATACCGCTTGGCAAAGACCCTTTGGTAAATTAATCTTGAAATTTTTTAAAGTACATAATATTTATTTACGACAAATGCAATAAATAAACTCACACCCTTCTCTTTTTTGGTGAGTTTTAAAACCACTAACCTTCTAAAAGCCAAATACCCGGATACAAGACTAACTTATCCAACGAAATCGTTATGATAATCTCTCCCAGCCTTGTAAACTATCTTATATAACCTTTTTGTAATCTTTCGGTTAATTATTAGCGTTTTAAAATAATTTATTAAGTAAATCTCAATCAAAGTAAGGTATAGGAAGAGTAAGATGTATACGATCTTTCTATCTAAACTCAAAGGGGTGAAGATTAGGGATATTCAAAAAACCGACCAACCTGGCCAACCCAACCCGAAACCCCTTTAGAAAAACTCAACTCGAGGTAACCCGACACGTAGTTGATACAAAATTAGGTCAAATTGCATCTATTGGGTTGAAAATTGGTTAGGGTAATTTCAACCCAACCCAAACTGATGAACCCAATGCCTTTCTATATTATGAATTTAATATGATTGTTAAATTATATATTAATATATGTACATTAGCCCAGCCTGTAGTTAACTATATTCAAAATTACTTACAATTTCAACCGTAACTTCCATTTTGTTCTTATACACATGAACCTCTTCAATTTCTTTGACCTTGTTAACCTTTTTTGTATGTTCTTATTTTTATTTTACTTCTTTTAAACACAAACGATTAGCTACATTGTAAAATAATATGCCAAACTTTCAATCCGATCAACCCGACCAACCAAATCCAACCCATCTTGCATGGGATGGGTTGGGTTGGGTTGGGTTGGGTTGTAGCTTTGATTGAGTTGATAATTTTCAAACTGCATACATTGGATCAGGTTGTTCAAATGTCTTCAACCCAACCAACTCAATCCATGTACAGTCCTAATGAAGACCCATCCTTTCATTTGTGTATTGTTATTTTTAGAGTAAATTATGATGGTTTGTTAATAATTTTGATTTTTGTCTCTATGTTTTAGAAATTACAATTTCACCTCTAAGTTTATAATTTATTACTATTTTCATCCCTTGACTAATTCCTACCTTTAAGTAGGAAGGACCGAAAGAGTAAAGAATTGCAAACACAACGATTAAAACAACAATAAATTGTAAACCATAAGAACAAAAATAGCAATAAATTACAAACCATAATAACAAGTAATTTTTATTTTTATTTGGTGATTTAACTTTACAAGTATTGTACTTGTAGTTTCATTACAAATTTCCCATTAGAAAACTTGTATAAATGCAAAAAAAAAAAAATCTATCCCAATACTTCAACAAATGAACATGAAAACCACACTCTTGAACATCAAGAACTTCCATAGAAGTAAATCACACATCTCATCCAACAACAAAAAATGCAAATTACAACCGAATTTCGAGTCAGGAATCTATAAACGACTCTTAAATGTACAAATACCTGTACAGTAAAATGTTCTTGGAGACTTTGAGACCGTGTTGTTCAAACCTAAATATGATCGGAGTAATTCTTGTGAAAATCTCTTTAAACTTTTAAACAGATGCCAACCGTAGAAGCCTTCGGTACCTAATCAACATATCAAGTTTCTTGATATTAGGAGAATAATTATGGGTATTAAATGGTTTAAGATTTTCTTTAATCATTGACTTTGACTTTTGAGGTCAAATAGAACACCATCATAGATATATACAATATCTCTTCATAGAAACAACTGTTCTACTCTTTAAAGTAGAAAAAATGTTTGCTTATATCCCAAACCCAGATTCCAGATTTGGATGGAATACACTGGGTTTGTTTGGTTTGTTTTGTTTATCTGTTTGTTATCACGATGATCAAACTCAACGTAACTTAGTATATTTCCTCAATTTTATAAGGAACCACCATATAAATTTTGGGGTTGAAAAGTAATTAGTTGAACCTAAAAGGTAAAAGGGAGTCTACTACTTTTTATACATATGTTCGCCAAAATAATTGTGATAAACTAGTCATGTTCGATAAAAAAGAACTGACTGAAAAGCTATGACAATATAAAATGACCAAAAAGAACATGTTAAAAAATTAATTGGAAAAACACAAGCGATATAACTAAAGAAAAGAGTAAATCATGTTTTTCATCCATGTGGTTTGTTAAAAATTGTATTTTTCATCCCTGTAATTTAGAAATTTGTTGTTTTTGTCCCTATGGTTTGTAATCCATTGCTATTTTCATCCTTATGTTTTACAATTTATTATTGTTACGGTCCCTATGGTTTACAGTCCTTTACTATTTTGGTCCTTTGTACTTGAAACGTAGAAATTAGTCTAAGGATAGAAATAGCAATAAATTGCAAGCCATAGGGATGAAAATTGCAATTTCTAAACCACAAGGACTAAAATTTATATTATTAACAAACCACTAGGACGAAAATCATAATTTACTCCTAAAAATGAAGAAAATTGAAAATAAAAGACTTGGAGCCTATTGAAATGCTACTTTAAGTAGCTTTTCAAAAAACTAGTTTATGGCTTAACCAAATGGAGCTCAATAAGCTCAAAAATTAAGCTAGCTTATGGTTACTAAACTTGGCCTAAGCAGATGAGTATATATAATCCAACTTAGGGGCTGTTCACCAAATGCTTATCGGACGTTACTTACCTTAACGGTTGAGCAACCCGGAAGAGGTATAGCAAGAACCAAAAATCTTACCGGTAAGTGAGGGAGAAGATGACTTTACCAGATAAAATATGCTTACCAACTATCCATTTAGATGGCCAAGAATGTTACTCAGTAAGGTAAAGTGAGGGTGGTGCCTCTTGCCATAAGCGCTTACTCAATAAGCTTATGATAAACAAACCCTTTAGTAGCCATTGTATTTGCTAAATGCAAACTTCTTGTACTTGTTATCAAGTTTAATGTGCTTTAGCAATTTTCATCAAAATTGCTAGAAATTTGGAAACCCATAATATTTTTTGATATTTAAAAGTAGTTTGTTTGAGCTCAAAAGTCGAAAGTGTGCTTTCTTTACATGACGGAATAGTCTAAAGATTTAGACGATGATTACCTCTACTTGCTTCAAGATTTACTTAATTTGGAGTGCCATTTTCTCAATCTTCGTCCACGATGCTCCAGATCATCCTAAAATGGTACAAAAAAACTTATAAATATGAGTTCCGAGTGCTTAAAGAATGTGGTACTTGAATTGAGTTTTGAGGTACATACCAAAATATAGAGAAGAAGAGAAGGAAAGCAAGATAAACAAGTTTGAATATTCTCTGTTTCTTTTCCCTTGAAAGCTCACTGAACACCTCTGTTGCATACACTAGATGGTGTCCATGAATGTACCTAAATAAACAATTTACATGCTTTAAATTTCATGGCATGATAAATGAACATAAAGGGCATCTAAATACAAATATTTAAGAAAAAAAAAAGGGAAACTTTGTGATGTTACTTATTAGAAGACCTTTTATTGTGTTCTTGATAGAAGCTTAACCTCAAAGGTCACCGATTCAAGTCCCCTTAGGGCCCACACCCACCGGAGGGTTTTCTCCCCAAAGATCACCGGTTCAAGTTCCTTTAGGGCCACCAGAGGGTTTTCTCCCTAGAGGTCATCAGTTCAAGTCCCCTTAGGGCCACCGGAGGGTTTGCCTAGGAGTTAACTTTAGTGCTCCATGGGATTAGTCGAGGTGTGTGCAAAATTGGTCTGACACCAACGATTACCAAAAGAAAAGAAAAGAAAAAAAAAAGAATTACTCCCTCTAAAGTAAAGATGCCTGACTGTAGAGGTTTTAACTTAAAAAAGTTGGGATGAGTTTATTCAATTTTGGGAACATTTGGTAGGTGTATTGAATTCCATAAAACAAATTATAAGCCCAAAAAATCTTGCTAATTCTGTTACAAAATATAGAGTATATATCAATATTTTATCTTTCTATATAAAAGATTTGACCGAAAAGTCAAAGTTTGCTAGTCTTTAAAAAGCATACCAACACGAACTATGCTGTTAATTGCAGCCCAATAGCAGTGCAATAGCGGATATTGGACTAAAGCAAAATAGTGATGGTCAAATATCGGTGAAGATTGCGGTTCCGATAATAGTGGCGCAATTTGCCACTATTTAACCGATATTTGAGATGGAAATGTGGACTGCAATACCGATATTCTAGCTTGGGCCTCTTTTGAACTATGCTGTTATCTTTTTGCTTTTCTTGGGCTTCTAATTAGATTTGTGACCTTATTTAGATTTTAATCCATTAACATTATCACTTTATCAGCATCCGGTTTAGAAGCTTAGAAGGTTAGGTTTTCAATTTCTTTCCAATATCGTCGACACGACATTTAACCAAGTTCGACCTCTCTTTTTTTTTTTTTCCAGCCTCACTCGAGTCTACGACAGCCCTCCACTCCACCTTCTTCTTTATAGACAGCCACGAGTCTCAACTCTCACTCGACAGCTTCTGCTCCACCCTCACTCCTCAGTCCCTCTGTTTTATTTTGACTTGAGGAGTCCCTCAGATGCTGAACTTATTGCTTGCGATTAGCTCGTTTATGAACATTTTCCCTATTTTGTTTTGTGAAACTTGTTTAAGTTGATGTTTTGAGGTTGAAACTATATTTTTAATTAATGCATATGATATGTTTATGTATGCATAAATATATATATATATATATATATATATTATATATAGTTCTAAAATATTATATGAACCGCTATACCACCGGTATAACCACTATTTCAAATATCGGTCCTGGCCGCTATTTTGTATTTTGACCGCTGTAACAGCATAGGACACGGACAATCACTAAAAGATGTAGGTTAAGTAATTTTCTTGACGGGTGTCTGGGCTAGCTTGTGCGCACTTTGACTAAACCCGTGGGGCCCTGAAGACAATGGAAACATCCTAGTGACTCTAAGGGCCTGTCGTGTTAGCAGCTTAATGAGCTTAATGAGACTTGGCTTACTCAGTCATATATACATGACTGATTGGTAGTAGGTTAATGATATATAAAGTGGCTCATTCCTTAAGCTTTTAGGAGGGAGCTTTATGCAGAAAGTCAAGGTTTTTGCAAACTTGTTCCTTCCAATTAAAAAGACACACTCATTCCATCTATGAAAAACCCTCCAAAACAAAAATCTTCCCAATCTTACAGACAGATTAATCGATACAGACAGTTTTATTTATACAAGACTTAGTAGAAAACCAACCAAACACCCCCTAAGGAGATTCGAACTGGCAATGTATCAGAAGGAGCCCCAAGGCCTGACCCTTATTTTAACAAACCAGTATATAAAAATATAAAAACAGAGTGAAAAAGTAGACTTACAGATTCACATTATAACATAAATATGGGAGGCACAAGAGGAACATGATCCAATGCAGTGTGATGAGATGTAGACAGCACAATACCCCTTGAGTAATAAACTCTGGCAAGGTAATGTTGTTTATCTTAGATGCTAACTCATATGGGTTGATATAATCAGTCTCTAAGTCTAAAAAGCACATTATCTGCAATAAAAAGATTGTAATTGTTAAATACATCAGAACATAGATCCTTTAATTACGGAAGTCATTGAAAAACTTCTGGCAAGATATATCAACAAGGATCGTCCTCAACGGATTTAGGATGAAGATAGCATCTCATGGAAACAGCCGCTTTACTCTTTCTGGGTAGAGAGGTCAGGTTTGCGTGCATGCATCTCACCCTCCCTGGACCCTACTTTCAAGTGGGATTTACAAGGCCTGTTTGTTTTGGTTTGGTATAGTATCTCGATGATCTTGATTAAGTTACATTAAAACAACAGGGCAAAATGCATCAAAATGCAACAAGTTCGGTTTAAGTCCTTAAGGGTAACACATAATTTTTTTCTCAATTGATGTAACAAAGTTCTAAGTTCTCCTATTTTGTATCCATTGTGACAGGTAATCTGCTGATCTTGTAACATTTGATGACATGAACATCAAGTTCATTGTTCACTTTGCCTTAGCACTTTCATAAGCCTTTCATACACGCCTATACAGTCATCTACGCTGTCAAAGTTACAAGATTAGCAGTTACTGGTCAAAATGGGTACAAAATACAAAATTTTGAAACTTTGTTACAATGATTGAGAAAAAAAAAATCTTTCATTACATTGAAACCTGTATACTAAACCCAATTGAAGAAGAAATGATAAATCTTAGATATTACCCAATTAGTCAAAAAATATATGCAACATTTGAGCAACTACATAGTTTTAAGTGTTTGACTATTGATAAAATATCTAGAATACCCCTCAACAGCGATAATAAAGAGAAATTACGTCACCCAAGTTCGATGTTATCAATATTTTGAAATGATTACTAATAGTAGATAAATGGGTAATCTAGGATTGAAAACTTTGACAAAAACAGAAAACGTTGCATCTATTTTGGGACGGGAATATAGCAGGTATCAACTAAAAGAAAAGAAATAAGGAAACCAAGGAGCAGGAATTAATGAATCTTGAGTAAGTTACATTCTACATTAGCCTCTTCAAAAGTCACTTAGTAAAAGTGTAAGACCATATAAAAGAGGAAGTCACTTGACGCTAACTATATAGAATGAAATAGTCAATGCTAAACCAAACAAACCCAATATATCCCACTCAAAAGCAGGGTCTCAGTAGGGTGAGATGTAATGCAGTCCTAGCCTCTACCTCCAAAAGGATAAAACATCTCTATCCATGAAGACCCCCAACTTGTGGAAAAGTGTGAGCGAAAAAGAAATGACAAGGGAAAGAAGAATAGTCAAGACTAGCACATAGTAGGCTGCCAAAAAAGGGAAAAGGCACAAAGAAAACATAATGAAATAATCAACACTGAAAGCTATAAAATGTTTAAGTCCAATTAGTTTTGATCATTTCTTGTTTGAGATTCTTCACTTTTTACATGAATGCCCCTTTTCTTTTGACTTATATTTTGCCGACAATTTTCCCTACAAGGCTACAACTCTATCAACATAACCACATTACATAATTAGTTATAATATATCACAACTGAACCATCAGAACCCATCAACCTCATTTAATTTCATGAAAGAAGGTAATTCCCCATCAAAGCATGAAACAATTAACGCCTACACACGACTTGCACCCGAAAGCTAAAGACTCTTTTTCTTTGGTAACCATGGGTGTTGAGGCCAGCTTACGTCGCTTCTTGACTAATCCCATGGAGCCTGAAGATAACAGCCAGGAAAACTCCAGTGGCCGTCGGAAGGACATGGTAAGGATTGACAGACTTAGAGTTCTTTCTTGATTCTATGAGTGATGGTGCACGGCCATTCTTAGTTGATGGAGCGATTGGTCTGGTTAATTCCATTAAAGACCTATAGGAAGAGCCCAAGGCTTAGCATTTCTTGCCAATTGCCTTTTTGCATAAAGAAGCATTGCCTAATACTCCATCCACCAACAGAAAGAAACCACATTTGACTTCACAAATTCAAAATAATGCTTCAATCATCGACACTAATCCTTGGATAATTTATAACTTAGCAATTTGCCTTGAAACTTAACAGATTTATGCAAGGGAAAATCTATAGCAAACACTAAATTTACCATCAAATTCATCTTAATTCCTTCAATTATCTTAACTACATACAAAATCAGCACAGTTAATTGCAATTCCTGAAACATGCAAACAATAAAAAACGAACCCAGAAATCAGATAATTAAGCAACTTAGGTTAATATTGTGGGAACAAAATCAGTATTCTTGCAACTGCAAAAAGCAATTCAGATTCCTGAAATATAGAGGACGAAGGTCGAGCTGTAGATGATGAGTGCAGTCAAACATGAATCGAAAGAAGAAGGTAAAGGGGTTGCAATTCGAAGAATGTGAGTATGTTGGGTTGGAAGTTACCTGATAAAGAACAAGGGCTATGACTGCTAAGAGGATGAAGAAAGAGAATAGCCATGCGATCAGATCTCCCATCTCTAAACCCTCTCTCTATATCTCTATATTTCTCTCTGTGTGTTTTAATGGCAGCCAAAAAGCACAGACTCCTGATTCCTGAAGTCATCTATGGGGTTTTGGAATCTTGATGCTTTTGATGAAATCACTAAACGGCGTCGTTTCATTGGTTTTACACTTTTACTTATTCTCTTTAGGTCCCTTATGTGTGTTTGTAGTTACATTTTGATACCTCAAGTTCCGTTGTTTCTATTTTCATACCCTTTTTCTATATCGTGTATTAATTAAAGTCCTCTGTTAAAATGAACAAAAATTAATTGGTTATCATCCAAATATCATTGAATTGTTACCAACTTATGAAAAATGTGGAAGTTTTTTAAAGAGGGGCGTAATAGAACTTACTCTAAACCTCAGGGACTAAACGTGCAAACAAACAAGATAAAAGACAACTAATATTCTAAATGGCGTCAGACGTCGTGTGATGACGAGACCAAGCCTCAAGTCTTAGGAGTCACCATGAGGCTACGACGTTGTTCAAAGCGTGACCTATGACGACAAATTTTTATATCATATATATAAACAGATTTTTTTTCTATTGTTATTCAATAAGTCAGTGATATTAAACAATTTAGGAGCAAATACAATGAATTGTTACCAAAAACTTATGAAATTGTTGATTCTTCGGGAAGAGGGGGCGTAATAGAATTTAGGAGCCGTTTACCAAACGCTTACTCGGGTAAGTGAATACCAAGTCACATTACCTTATCGGATGAATATGGTAAGGACCAAAAATCTTACCCGATAAGAGCGAGACAAATACCAAGAGTCTTACCCGATAAGTGAGGGCGCCGACTCTTATTACGGTAAACGCTTACCGGATAAATTGTTGCATACGATAATATTTTATCAAGTAAGTGTTTAGTAAACGGCCCATTAGTCAACCTTAGAGACCAAAATGCAAACAAACATATAAAAATGTCGAATGTTTTTGAAAGAGGGGGAGTAATAGAACTTACTCTAAACCTTAAGGACCAAAATGCAAACAAACATATAAAAATGTGGAGTGTTTTTGAAAGAAAAGGGGGGGTAATAGAACTTACTCTAAACCTCAAGGACCAAAATGCAAACAAACATATAAAAATGTTGAATGTTTTTGAAAGAAAAGGGGGGTAATAGAACTTACTCTAAACCTCAGGGACCAAACTGCAAACAAGTTTCCCCTTTTCTAATTTACATGTTTTCTTGATGGAAAAGAAATAGAAGAAGAAAAGAGCTGAAAAGGGGTTCTTCTTCACACACAAACACACAGCGAGTTTTGTGATCTGAACACCAAAACCTCATCATCGTCATAATCATGCCGAAGGAACATGCAAACTGGTCTCCATACGATAACAATGGAGGGTAAGTATCTTTATGCCCTTAATTAACACTTTTATCTTTCAAGATGTACGTATAAGTTTGTAATTTTCGATGTCTGATCCTATCTTTCTATGTGTATCTTTGCAGAACTTGTGTGGCGATTGCTGGTGCCGATTACTGTGTGATTGCAGCGGATACTCGGATGTCCACCGGTTACAGTATTCTCACCCGAGATTACTCCAAAATCTGTAAATTGTATGATTCATTTCGTTTTTAATTTGTGTGAATTTGTTTGATGCATTTATTGTTTTTGTTGTTTGTATTAGGTTTCTACTGTTAAGTTGTATCCACGTGTTGATTTAGTCGTGTATGAATTGTAATTTGGTCCGCCCTTAGGGCATAGGGTTTGTAGATGTTCAGAAATTCGGAATCTTTTAGCTAAATCTATGGATGAAAACATGAATTTCTAATATTTCCATTTGATTATTTGATCTAATGTAGGAAATAGAAGAGCTTAAGGGAAAAGGGTAAGGGACTTGTTACTCACTTACTTACCTGCACTGATTGATACTCCTAGTCTAGGCGTTGAATCCACTCCCAAAATTTTGGGGAGATTAAGGATAACTGTAACTTTGAGGTGTATTTATGTAGGTTTGCGGTTTGAGAGTATGTAAGGTACTTTTTTGTTGGAACAATTGAATTCATGAAAGCTAACATTGACAGTGGAATACTTGGATTACGGGTTCCATCTTTACCATTGTAGAACATACTCACACTTACACACATGCAGTGAGATAGCCGGTGTTTGTTTGTAACTGAATACATGAGACAGGTGGTGTATCTAGATTTGAGGGGTTTATTTTGAGCAACAGAATCCGTACCCACAAAGGTATTAACTTGTAGGTATCATGTGGATAATGTAGTTGTGTACCACTTCATAATTACTTGGGTTGGTTGGATGGTTGAAGATGGAAATGTCATGTTCAAGATTATCTTGTGGGGAACCCGGCCAGATTCATCATGCTCATGCATTTGTACCAAATTTTAAAGTGAACTCCTTTTTTCTTGTGTGGTTCTAGGGATGTTAAATATCGATGTTATAATAGACATTGTGTGTAATTTGTTCGCATCTTATTTACATATATGATGAACTTTTGCTTAGAACACTACCTATGAGTTGCATCAAAGTGTTGTGTTCATAATTATTTGGTATCGAAACAAAATATCATTGTTTTGGTTTGATGCTATAGGCCCATTCAACTTTGATTAAAGTTGGCTGCTTGTATTTGAATTTTCTCGCTTGCTTTGTCTGAAAAGCCAAAATGAGTTCTTTTCTAAGTAAAGCTTTCTGAATTAGAAAAGAAAATATCTAAGATTCTTCAAAATTTATTCTCAGAGCGGACAAAAGCTTCATGGCTTCTTCAGGATTTCAGGCCGACGTGAAAGCACTTCAAAAGGTTCTGGCTTCAAGACACCTGGTAAGATTCTTGAACTTTTTTTCTAGTTAATCGTTCATTTCATATGTCTTTCCTAAACCTCAATGAATTAATTTTTGTCAAAGCTGAGCCCATGGTATTTTTACTCGTGTTACCTCCTATTAGCTGTCTCTGAAATCTTCTTTTACTATAAGAAATGAGTAAATTCATGTTTGGCTGCAACAGAAGTCATAGGCATAATAGTGTGGTACAAGAATGTTGATAGTTTATATATTTCTATCATATGCTAGCGAACTTTGGGTTTTGTAACTAGCTGTTGTGAAAATCTTTCTAGTTGTTTGGCTTTACATGGAGGATAAAACCAAACCAAACCAAACCAAACAAACCAAACCAAAGGAACCTAGTATATCCCCCTCGGAGGTAGGGTATGAAGGTGGATGTATGCGGAACTGGCCGCTATCCCGGTGGGGGGAAGTTGTTCCCATGATGACCCTTGACTTGCAAAACAGAAGTGGAGGATGAAATCATTATAGAGGGAGTGCTTTTGTTATAACTTGTTAGGATACACTCTTATTTAGGATCTTTTAGACCAGATTAGCTACGTGTTGCTAGTCAATTCTTAGCTGAAGTAACCCTAGAAGCATTGCTGCTGCTCCTTCTCAAATCCTTCTATAGGTTGTTCAGCGACGCATTTGGATATGGTGTTGGGCATCTACTGAAATTGTTGACCGTAGAAACCAGGGAGGGGGGGGGATATGAGGTGGGGCTTTTGGCTCTCTTTTTAAAGAACAGGATGAAATTCACAGGTTATTAGATTTGTCTTCAACCTACAAGTGAGAAGAAAGGAGGCGAGGCAGCACAACAATTCCTCTATATTTGAGAAAGATATGATGCACCTAGTATGAATAAAAGCAAGCTAGAACTTGAAATCATGTTTATTTTTACATTTAATATATGAATTATGAAACACTTTATGCTTTATTGATTTAGTTTATATTTCTGTGCACCCATGCATAAACACACCCTTGTATCCTCCGCTGTTTAGAATCTTTGGGTCCTATGCATCTTGTTGACTTATCCTTGTAAAATAAAAAGTTGCTAGGGATGTATTCACTTTTAACACTAATGCTCTTGTTCTTTTTCCTTCTATTCTTTCTTCTCTACTACAGATTTATCAACACCAGCACAACAAACAGATGAGTTGCCCTGCAATGGCTCAGCTTCTCTCAAACACCCTCTACTATAAGCGTTTCTTCCCATATTATGCCTTCAATGTTCTAGGTGGCCTTGATAGTGAAGGTATGCAGATGTACTCTTTTAATTGTAGCGTACATCCTTGACATGTATTAACATAAACTCATTTATAAACATCAAGGGAAGGGATGTGTCTTCACATATGATGCCGTTGGGTCCTATGAGAGGGTTGGATACAGTGCTCAAGGTTCTGGCGCCACACTCATCACTCCATTCCTGGACAACCAACTTAAATCCCCGAGCCCTCTTCTGTTGCCTGCAAAGGTCTGAATTGAGTTTCATCTTTCTCTCTCTTCGCACACATACATACACACACACATACGTTTGTGTGTAGATATATATATCTTTCATGTATTTGAGTTTTCAACAAAAAGAAACCCCTTGTCACTTTTTTTCATCATTAACCATCTAACATTGTGGTTTAATTTTGAATAATTTGGTTGACGTGATTAGTTTACTTTAATAAAAATACAATCAGCAGCATTGTGCACCAAAATCTGATGGAATGGCTGGCTAGAAGCATACAATTTACATGTGTATCCTTTAGCTGACATAGCACTGGAATGACATTTTTAACCTCAACTGACATCTTAGCAGGAATAAAGAAATGACCAATTTCCTATAAACATGGGGAACGTGCAAGAGTTTAAAATTTCCATTTGGGCACCATTTCAACAAAAGGGTACACTTGTAAATGCCAGATATGCATCCGGTCAGCAATCAAAATTTGACATAGAATGACGATAACTGTATGATTGTTAAGGGACGAATCACAATGACTAGATCATTCAGAACTTGACCACTCCAAATCACATTCTTATAATTAGAAGACCTCACTAGCTAAAATATGAACTTACATGCTCTATGTTATACAACTTCTTTTATTGGTGCACAGGATGCTGTCACACCGCTTTCAGAAGCTGAAGCTATTGATTTGGTGAAGACTTGTTTTTCATCAGCAACAGAAAGAGATATATACACGGTTAGTTTCTATTTTCTTGTTTCCATTTTCATATGCATTGGCCTTGAGGATTAGAAAGCGCTTGTGGCCATGGAGGTTCACCTGCGACGACTCCAGGCCATTCGTGGTCGCTCGTGGGATTAGACGGTGGCACGGTGCGCATGAGCTTGCCCGGATACCCAAGTCTTTAAGGACTAGAAGTTCTGCATAGAATATACACCTAGAATAGCTGCTATATAAGTTATAGAGACCCACTAAATGAAAATTTTAAATGTCATAGGGAATAGAAGTTTTATCAAAATTTCACATGTTTATATCTTTCTAATACTTGATGAAATGATTGAAAGTGATTATAAGGGGTTGTTTGTTTACCTCTTAATAGCTTCATTAAGAGGCAACCTCTGAATCGTTAAGAGGTGAATCTTGTTTGGCAAAAAAAAGTCTGCCTCTTAATGGTTCTAAAACTCTCTGAATGATTTTGTATTCTAGACCTCCCTATACCATCAGCGCCCTAATTTCATTGTAAACAATTTCCAAACAATTATATATTATTTTGTATTATATCGTGAGAGCCACTTATCATTCTGACCACTTAATCATTATTCCCCAAACCATTCAGCAACTGTCAAACAGTTCCCAAGTGTCCACATTTCTATGTAAGTTTGTTCGTAAATAAGTATTCATTTTCAAAAATAGATGGTTATAATTTACTAAAGTTCCAGTTCTACCCTTGATTATGAGACACCGTGACAAATATTTAAGAGTTGATGAGATGGAGAAATTCATTGGTGGGAGAAAAATGTTTGAATTGGGACATTTATTTAGGGTAAAATTGTTATTTGACTAATTAAAAGTGTAATAATTATATATTTGGGGGGAAGTAATTAGTTTGTGATGAAATTGAATTTTCGATCCTTTTTTGCTCCTAACTATTCCTCTATTTTATATTTTACAGGGAGATAGTGTTGAAATTGTAATCTTAAATGCTCATGGTGTTCGCAGCGAACATGAACAACTCCGCAAGGATTAGTAACCACAAACTTTCTGAAGATTGTGATTCATCTTTGCAGGTTTCTTGTCGTGTTTTTAGTTCCTTTCCCAAACCGAGCTTAAAACTGTTTATTAGATTACGATCGTGTTTAAACCCTTTTGAATATTTGAGATCTTGGATTTATATTCACATGGTCTTTTTCTGTTGCTGAATTATTTGCATCCTGTGAATGGTTTTGTAGACCAGTCAGTTTGGATGATGATGTTGGGTAAAAGCCTAATGCTGGTTTTTTTGGAACGCGTCCATGTTATGTCTGTACTAATCCCGACAAATTGTGACTGCAAAAAATCAATTGAACCCTGTGCAGATGGATATTCCGCCACAATTAATCATTATAATTGTAAATAAAATTTATAATAATCATTTTTAAAATACATATAATAGGCAGTAAAAAGTATTTTAATTCTCCATCCCATGAGAAGATGATTTCCAAGCTTCTAATAATTGATTTTCTGTTCTTTTATCATTAATTTTATTTACCAAATATTTTATTTGTTTTTGTTTATAGCTTGATCTTCTTGGTGTTCTAAGTGATTGTCATTACTATTTTTTTATTAACTTGGATATGTAATCTGTTATGCGAGCGGGCTAATCTTAGGGCTACCACCTGCTTTGCGGGTAGTCCAGAGTTGACGCATTTGAACCTTCGTGGTCATAAGAGGATTTTTTTTTATTTCTTCTTGGATTCAAACATGTGACCTTTAAAGTCCAAGTTTAAACCAATCAAACAACACCCTTGTAGTTTGTTAGTATCTTTATGTTCCCAGTCGCTAAGGAATCACACTTGCTAGTGTGCAAACCTCCTTAAAAGCATGAGGTTTACTAGAACTGTTCTTCATCTTTAGCAGATGTTGAATTACTGGTCGTCTTGTGATGATTGAATAATCACCCATCTTGAACATCTTATGATAACGAATAGTAATTTTCATATCCATAGAAAATAATTTATTGGCTTTTCAACAATTCTGACACTTTAAAAGGAACGAGTTTTGTCCATTATATTATAAGGGAGAATCTTCAATATATTGCCTTTGTCAAATTGATTTAATAACACTACCTGAAATTGTTTGTTATGCAACATCCTCTTGAATAATCGAGAACCCTTTCAATAACTTTGGGATTGAATTTTAATACTATGATTTTATATCGTCTTTATTGGAATTGGGATGTACATAATAAAAGCAAATCCGAAATTTCTATGAACGGAAAATATACAACATGAAACCAGAGTTTGAAGCTGAAAGGTGTTCGACACTGCATGAAGAAAGGGACCCTTTGGATCTCTATTCCTAGTTTCGGCTTTGGCCTATCGTCATTTTAAACCTGCACCGTTGTCAATAAGATTTAGAACGCCCTCCAAAAATGAAAATTGTATTTAACTCCAACACTTTCTGGAGATCCCTTTGTATTTAACCCCAACACTCTATTCGGAGATCCCTAACCAACATTAGTTACTAATATTAAAATATTTAAAAATATAAAAAATTCCCATTTGCATACAATTTTTTTCCCATATGAAAATAGGCTTTGGACAAATACGCAACACATTTATGTAAACTCTGACTAAAATAAGAACTCAGTTCCTAAAATGACTAAAAAGTGAGAATTTGATCAGAAAAGATTGGCTATTTTAACCAATTTCCCCAAATTTAACATTCTAACCACATATTATCATTTCAAAACAAAATTGTGTTTGGGATTGCTTATAGAAACAACTTATTGACTTATTCTGGTATGACACCAGTAATAAACACTTTTGAGTGTTTGGATAAACAATTTATACCGGTGCTAAACCGGTAATAAGGAGTTTTTGAAGAAGTTAAACCATTCTGACTTATAACAAGTTGATAATTGCTTTTGTAAAAAAACATAAGTTGTTTCAAATAAACAATCCCAAACACCCCGTAAACAAGAAGTGCATCGGAATATTGGATGAGTAGTGAGGGAAGTAACCTGAGAATCTCCAGGTGGGTCCCACAAATAAAAGCTGCATTGTGTATATAAATAATGCCATCAACTCCCAGAAAGCATCTTCACTTTCTGCAACACAAACAAACAAAGATGCATCTGTAACTTACAAATTCATCAACATCCAGTTACAAGATAAAAGCAAGATTTCAATTATGCATGCAAACCACCAAACAGTTCAAGTATATCCCATCAGAAGATGGCTCAAGGGGATATGTAAACAGAGATGATCTCCACGCAAAGAGTAAAACAGTTGTTTTACTGAGAAAACTAGCAGGATGAGAAGGAAAAGAATAAATAAATATTTTAAATGGCGTGAGGCATGATGTGGCCTATGGAGGACCCACATGGAGTGATACGGTGGCACGGGCTACCTTTTCATGGTTTCGTCGTAAGGGAAAAAATTACGTTTCTGAAGTGTGTCAATGAAACTGAAATGTTAGTCCAAAACTTTAATGGCTAAGATGGTAAATACTCTTACCTTCCTACAAAAGGCGGGAGTTCAAGTCATATAGTTGTCAAATTTGTTGTTTTTTAGGTTAAATTTTGATGTTTTTAATATACCAACACTTGTGTTTTTTAAAATATATGTAGACTGACTCAAACATAAAACCAACCAACATACCTCTAATACTATTGTGAAAAAAAAATAGATATTTTTTATGGTCAAATTGTGCCACCACTTGGAAAAATTTCTAAATAGCGTGTGTTGGCGAGATCAAGCCTCATGCCTTACATGCCACGGCAAGGCCACATTGTTCTCAAGGGAAGACTTATGGCGGCAAATATGTATATCATATATAATTATATATTTATATATAATAATATGTTTTCTACTGACTCAATAATTCAATGATATTAAACAGTTTAAATTAGGTTATATACTAAAACTTTAAAATAAAACGCTAAAAATGTAAGAAAAATCAGATATCGTGTTACAAAAACCATGCATTAGACCATAGCGTGCCATAGACATAACGTGGCGTCAAGCACAAGCCTAGTCACAGTTTAGAACACCAGAATAACTTCATGAAAAGCATAAAGGAATGAAAGAATTATTACTGAAATGTATTGCGGTGGATCATCGATACTAGTTGAACCTAGTACCACCTCCCTCTTTAATTTAGCGGTAAGCTTGTGACAAACCCGTAACTACACACGAACACAAGCAACAAAGAATCATGTTTTAGGCAACAATATATATAGGGTTGGATTCAGAGGGAACGATAAAAAAATAAAAAATAAATCGAGGAACACCTAGTAACAATTTATCTGTACGGTAATATGTGCATACAAGTAATTTGTAAGTAATTTTTCCAATATGCACACATGCATACATCTTCAATTGCTTGTATGCACATGTTCATACAGTTACAGATGAACGATTACTTCGGTGTTCCTCAGTTTTTCATTTTTGAAGAGTTTTCCCCCTGAACCCCATTCTCTCTCTCTCTCTCTCTCTCTCTCTCTCTCTCTATATATATATATATATATATATATATATATATATATA